GGGGGGGGGGGGGGCGGTACCGTTGACAACAGCTGGCGTGCCCAGAACACACCGAAAAGCGCCGACAGTATCAGCAGAATACGACCATCACCAAACACCACAGGCAGCAGCACCAGCAACACGACACCAACAACAACGGCGACGGGAAGGGCAACAAAAACACTCCTGTAGGTTGCAGGACGGGGTCTTGGACATGGCCGTCAGGCCCCCCGTCAGCCCCAGAAGCTGGGCGGTGATTCGGCTGCCGATCAGGGCGCACACGTTGGGCGCCATGCTGGTCATCCTCGTCTCGACGAAGTCAAGGATCGACGCCTTCGCCGCTGCTAAGGCCTCGTACTCCTCGCAACCCTGCCGCAAGTTTTCCGTCCGTCAAGGTTTGGGGTGCACAGGGGAAGGAGGCAATTTTTAAGAGCTTTGATAAAAAAAATCGACCTGGAATAAACGAACGATTGTTTCGCATGCGCGCGTATTTAAGTACTGAAACAACAAAAGCCAACGTAGTAGAGCAAACGCTGAGCTCCTGCGGATTCTCGTGCTGCGGAGAGCGGCCGCTGGTGGAAAATGCTACCAACTATGGAGCCAAAACTACCCCACAAGAGAGGGCAAGGGGGGGAGGGTAGCCGACAGGGGGAGCAGGCATTCTTCAGGAAACTCCGGGTATGTCAGGATGGCTGGACGGGGCCGAGTGAGCGACTCGACTGGAGCGAGATCAGAAAAAAAAAAATAATAAAAGTCGTTTGAGCACCTTGATGCACTCGTGCAGGTCCTCCTCCGACAGAGGCTGGCCGCTGGTGGTGGAGCCGGTCACGCTCACGACCATCACGGTCGTCTGCGGCAAGGCGGAATCCAGTTCCACTTGCGTCATGTCCTGCAGGCGAGAAAAAGAAGAAGGAAAGAGCGACAGGATGCATGAGCATACAAACCAACTCGTTGTCGTTGTTATTGTTGGACCTGTTGGACCTGTTGTCGTCGTTGTAAAATTGTTGTCGGTTCTGTTCCTGACGTTATATTTGCCATTGCATGCCTTCTGGTCCCTACCAAGTGCATCTTCGTTCTTCTCTCCGCGCTATTAAGAATGAACGGTATCATCTCGGCGAGTGTCAGGCATATCCCCAACCAATGTGGAGCAATAGAAGCAAGTGAACAGCAGAATAACGCGGGAAGGGGTTCGTGGCCAAAGGAGGGGAAGGGAAGCTGCATTCGATTGCCAACGCAGCACTCGAACGTCAACGCAAAATGCCAGCAACAAGACGCGCGTGCAGCACGCACGGCAGTTGATCTCAACCCTCCGCACGTGAAACAAACAAGAAGTTCCGAATGTTTCCGGCTGCTACTATCAGCTATTGTTGGTGACAAACGCATGCTTCTCACCATCTCGTTCCGCATGACCTGCACCGTCCGGACGTAGTCCGCCGGCTGCGGGATGAGGCTGTCCAGCTCGGGGAACTTCTGCGAGTACCTGTCCACCACGAAGCGGTGCACCTCCACCATTTCCGGGTCGATGTCCTAACCAAGCGAAACACATAACACATAGATAAACATGTGGCAATAAGAGAGCAGCAGCGGGAGGGTAAACATAAGTAAATAAAAAAACGACTGTTGTGGATATGTCTCGAACGGGTAGGTAGTCGATCTGTTTTTGTAGTAAAGTTTCCAAAAAACAAGTAACACAAATGTACATGCGCGCAGCCAGGGAAAACGAAAAAGGGATCAAGAAACGAACACTACGCACAAGATGCAACAAGCATTCTGCACCACGCATCAACATGTCACGGGAAAAAAAAAACGGTGCTGAGGGGACGAGGTTCACGTTGGGTAACCCAGTCCGTTTCCCTGATACAGCGGGTCGTCGAGAAGCTTCCGCTCGGCCATAAGGCCCAGTACCACCCGTGCCACCCACTTCGAAATGAGTGCGTCTACGTGCGACTTGAGAAAGAGAAATAGTTGTTCAACCCCGTGTAGTTCAACCTCGTGTCTCTACAATGAGGGCATTCACGTGCGACTTGAAAGAGTGCCAGTCTTACAACCCTGTGTCGTATAAAACCATGTCGTTTAACGCGGGGAACCATGCAACTCCATCTGCCGTTGGTAGATGGGTGCGGCCGTGAAGCAAGGGGTGGGAAGGAGGTTGTGATCGTAGGGCAATCAGACAGATGCACACCGTTCGAGTTCTGTAGCACAGGAGTTGATAACAACGAAAACAACAACAACGAGGGCTGCGAGGGCAACTCGCTTTCGTGAATGGATGGGCCCGCAGGGTACAGTACCACTATTGTCTTGCAGGCCTTCGCATCTCCCCGCCTCTTCGAACAAGGCCGGGATCGTCGCCAGCCAGGAATACAGTGTACTCCTCTGTCTGTCTCTGTCTGCTTGTTTCTGTCTGCCTGTCTGCCCCCTCCCTGCCTGCCTGCCTGCTTGTCTGTCTCTACTCATCTCTCGATCTACCTCTCTCACGCGTGCCATTCTCCATACATGTATTCGAGGTACGCTCTCGATCTCCCATTGCACCTCTTCCTCGTTTACGAAACCAAACCCAGTTGCTGCCCCCCCCCCCCCCCCCCCCCCCCCCCCCCCCCCCCCCCCCCCCCNAGCATGTACCTGAATGAGCTCATTGCTGGCGACAACCAGCTTGTACTCGGGATCGTCCTCCAACGCTCCCACTCTCGGAGCCGGCTCTCGTTTCAGGCATTCGTCAATCTCCGCCTAGGGTAAAGGCGGCGTTTCAAGCGTGATACATGAGCCGGCGCGAATCCATGTGAATACGCGTGTGGGTATGAGCATGTGTCCTTGTTGTACCATGATTCGCATGTGTGGTAACGTTCTGAAGTCTTCTATTGTTGTATGTCGCGTGGGATACGTTTCAAGATAGGTCGAAAACGGCATCCAAGTGTTTAGCCCTTGATAACCACCCTTCGTGCGTGCTAGCATGCTAAGAAACGCCTCCTCGGTTTAAAACCCTCCCGTCCAACAAAGATGATGCAAACCGCACTTGCCATTTGCATTGACATACCGCTGACTGCTGCTTGTCCCCAATACATCTAGACACCAGCTTCATGCCACGACATCAGCATAGACAACTCTACCAGACAGCAAACAATTAAAAGGGCGTACCCCGCCCCAACAGGCCGCCCAATGACCTCAACAGTGCACGACCCGTTGCTCACTCACCATCTGGCTCTTGAAGCGCTCGCTCTTCCGAAGCTTGGCCACGGCGTCCACCGTGCGGTCGCCTATCCGGCCTAGCGTGGACTCCAGCCCTTCTCCTTCTCCACCGCCTTCCGCCGCTGCCCCCGAGCCCCCGCCCTGGCCGCCCCCTGCCGTTTCATTTCCAGCCGTTCCGTCTAGGCCCTTCTCTCTTCGTCTTCCAGTGGGGACTTCGTCTGTCTGTTTCGTGAGAGCGAACGGCAGAGGCGGTGGTCGGAGAGAGAGTCAACAACAGGGAAGGTTGGCAGGGTCTGTGGTTGATTCAAACTCGGGGCCAGCATGTGTGTGGAGCTAGTCTAGCGAGAGTATGCCAGCTGTGCATGTTATCTTCCCTGTTTTACTAGCATTTCGCGCACGTTCAATTATTCATCCCTGTTCCTTTCCCATTCCAGACATGAGGAAGAGCCTACTGTTGTCTGTATTTGCCTGTCTGTCTCGCTCTCCGCCCGGCTCTCTCCATCTTTCGTTTCTCCTCTCCCTCGCTTGTTGATCGCTGAGATCTCAAGTGCGACTTTTTACGCCCTCACATTCTGCTTGCGCAACGAACCCCTCCCCACACTGCTACACGCTGCGGCTACTGCCGCTCTCGTTCGGTAGTAGACCATGGGACGTAGGTCCGTTTCATACAAGCTGGGGTGACCAAGAATGTCAGGCATGACCCGACCTCAGTCACCGTCGCAAGCCAAGGTTGCCGCGTCGCGAGAATGAAAAGCAGTGACCCACAAAAAACAAACAACAGCAATGCATTACGGCAACCTTCACACTATGAAAGAACGCTTGTCTGCTGTACGCGCCCGACCGAACGGGCCACACGCGAGGGGAAGCCACCGCCTCAACACACAGGCCCTTGTCGATGCGGCGCAATCAATCCTCTTCCAAAGCGTCGAGACGTTGAGACACCAAAACCAACACATAAACAACATCCAAAAAAAGTTAAGCGTACGCCCGCCCTGTCCGACTCGTTCTTTCTCGTATCATGCACCTCCATGTCATCGTCGCGGTCGCCTTCCCCGGATGCCCCGCCCGCCGCCGAGGCACCCCCTCCCCTCCCTCCGTCCTCCTGGGTCTCCTCGTCCGAGCTCTCCCCAAGCTCGTCCAAGTCATCCAAAAAGCTGTCCGCCAAGGTAGCCATCCTCTACGCCGACTCCAACCGAACACAATCCTCGGCTAGCTGAGACTTCCGTCGTTGTATCACAACTCGTGGTGCTTCCTACTTCGCTGCTGCTGTCTGGTTGCTTCGACCAGGCGGCGAGGTCAAAACGCGGGTATGCGGGTACAATGTACCTTTTTGGGTGCTGCGGCAGAAGACAACTTACAGCGGAGCGAGCCAGAAAGTTCAAAGACACGTAGACGGCGACACGCGTGACGCGGCAGCAGTATCAACCGGAGTCGTCGCCCAACAACGCAGTGATCCTCGAGCGCAATGCAGAAAGGTGAGGTGTTGTCTGGCAAAGTCAGCCGGGGCACTCGAAGGGGCTCCGTCAATGAACCTGTTTTCATGTCACGGTGCACCTACATCTCGCCGCATGCTGTCTGTGTGTCGCTTGACGCGTGCTTGACCGGGATCTCGCGATCTCCCGCTGGCCCTCTCGCTGTCTGACCCGACCGCCGATGTCACCTTGCCGAACTTAAGCGGAAAAGATTCGGCCGTACGTACTGACTGCTGTGCGTTGGTTGCGACCAAACTGCTGTAAGTTGCTGCTGAAATCTCCAATTGCTGCTGCCTCTTCGAAGAGGCACGTTGCTTTGCAGCGCGGGAACAGCAGCAGAGCTCACCATCATGTTTTGCGCCGGCGGCGTCGACGAGCTTGGTGTGACCGGATCAGCTCGTCGCGGACAACCGTCGCTGCGGTGGCGGCTCCCACTGGTTGCCTGCTTGCTACAAGTACTCCGCTGCTCCTCCAGCGCTGGGCTTGGTGGAGACGGCCGAACGGCGTTGCGCTTGTCCCCCCTGGTGCAAGGAGCGGCCGGGCTGCTCCTCGAGAACTACCGGGACGAGCTGGAGGCCACCATCCCATCCCCGCTTATCGATGCTCACCAGGTGACAGCGCGCTTGCTCTCTCGGGTAACGAGACTCGGTTTTTGTGGATCCCACGCAACCTACAGGGTCCGGCCGCGGCATGCAACGGCTTAGTCCAACACGTGCTTGTAGTTCAACTACATAATACTGCTGGAACTCTACGGCTGTGCTGCTATAGCGCCAACCCTGACAGCAAACCAACCGGTTGCACACACAGTAGTTGTGTCAATCAACGCTATACACGTCCCAATGACTACTACTGATGTCGATATACACGTCGTGCAAAGAGTAGGTGGATAGATTATGATTCCGTAACATCAGGGAACCGGCTACTTTTTTTTCAAATATCCAGACTCTGTAACTGCATCATTAACTGGGTTCCGCTCCTCTTTCTTGGCCTTCATGCAGCATGCAGCCCCCTTTACATGCCGCACGTGAGGGCAGAACGCGTTCTTATCTGCCAATCCTCATAGTAGCGTTTTGTGATCCCCTATCTCCTTCTCGCCGTTTCGTTGGTTGCTTTCTCACAGGAAAGCACAACATCGATCATGGTGGCAGAGGCTTGGGCGCATGTCGATCAACAACGGGCGCGGGTGAGAAAGCGAGCGCCACAATGTGGGGACTCACATGGATCTACAGCAGTATTAGCCCCCGGGATGGACTTGTTGAGCGGATGGGGGAAATCCACGTGCAACTCTACAAAACGGAACACCGATGCAACTGGAAGCAGGGCAGAAACAAACACCTCGGACGGGAAGGCGCACGGGAGGGAAATTCCGTCAGCAGCACGACGCCCTCCTTGCCCCTTGATGACGTACCTTTCAACCAACCAACTCCTCCTTCTGCGAAAAAAGGAGAGAGAGAGATAGTCGTCCTAGGCAGACGTTGGGGGGAGGAGCTTGAACCCGGGTTCTATGCCACCGAAATCAGACATCGTCATGAACAACAACACTCGGTTTGTTGGTTGTGCCAGCGTATGCCCGAACAAGAAGGACTGGCCGGAGTGTTGATAAGGACACTATTTGCGTTCACCGAACACATAGTCCAAGTGCACCCAGCATGCGCGCGTTTGAGCCTAAAGACACCGCGAAGAACGACTGCTTACAAGGCACGGGCAGAAAAGGTCATGTAATTGCGCCGGGACAGGCCATCTCTTCGTCTACGCCGATGTTGTTGTGTTTGTTGTTTTCACATTACTATTGGTCATTCCGGTCCATGCTAAGTATCTCCGAGTATCCGTACCGTCCAAATGACATCGTGGTCACAGACCAACTAAGAATAAAAGGGGTGCACACTTGTAGAAATCAAACGTGCAAGGGGAATGTCGTCCTCGACAGACAGAATTTGTGGAAGGGGAGGGGACCTTTTTTCAAGGTCACCCGCACGTCGCCGTGCTTCTCTCTCGATATCCCGGCGCGCTTAGCCGAAAGCGAGGCACTGGTACCCAATGGATTAAACGGAGCGTTTATGTGCGTTCCGTGGGCATTCTGAGTCGCACGGTTCCGATTCCGCACTCAAGTCACAGTCACGAAATCCCCCGCGTTGGTTTGGGAAGCCGTGCTGTTTGCTGCTCCTGCTCGCTGAGAAGTCCTCCACCACAACACTAGCCTGCAACACTTCAGTAGCACCACAGGTCCTACCCGTTGGCCATAACTGTTGCTGTACACAGTCCTAAAGCGAGTACGCTCCATCGTCATCAGCTCCATGTTGTGCCCGCTTGCGGTCAGGTCAGGTTATGTCCGCCGGCACAACCACCGTAGCTGTCTCCGGCTTCGGGAGTTGTGTGGACGGCGGATGCACTCGTCGGTGGCTGTTTCCTCTCCCAATATCGGCGGCCAAAGCACAACAAAGAAAGCTGCTGTGTTGCCGCATCCGTCTGCCGCATTCTCTTTGGTTCGGTCGGGGGGCGGGGTTTACTTTGCGAGCTGGCCGCATTTTTTTTGCCTCACACATACCATCCCACAATCTCTCTCTCTCTCTCTCTCTCTCTCTCTCTCTCTCTCTCTCTCTCTC